CGGCCCGGCCGCACCCTGGGGGGAAGCTATAAGGCAAACTCACCCCCTCTTTATGAAGGGCTGTGGGAATCACCCATATGTCAACCTTAATTCAGGGCTTGGGGTTCAAACTCCAGCATTTCACCTTCCCAACTGTTACTCATTCAGTAGACGTTCATAGGAGGCTTCCAATCTGGCTGAGATGTGAGGACGGGGAGGCAGTCTCTGGGTAAAAGGACAGGCTGCTGCCAAAAGGGGAGTGAGAAGTTTAAGCCCCCAAATAACCCCCCTCCTACCAGTAAATCCACAGTGAAAGACTCTTTTAGTCCCTTAAAGGTTCCCCAGAAGCTCCCATGCTGCTGTGCCTGCTCTGCTTGGAGCCATGACAGATTACATGCCTCAGACTTTTATAGGAAGTGATAGAAATTACTCCATGTGGTTTCGGACCCATCGTGCTGCTCCTTCCTACTTTCTGTTGAGTCTGTCACTGAAGGGGAAGCAGCTTTCCACCGAGCATGAGGGAGAAGGGATGCTGCGGTCAAGGCTCTGCCCAGGCAGAAGGTCTCTCATAAAACCCACCTGGTTTTCACCAAAGGATGGGAGGAGACCTGGCTATTTCTGAAACACTCAGTCAATTCAGTCTTTTTTGTTTTCCTTGGTGATGATTGTGCTGCCTGCCACGCCAACTGTGAGGACACTGATGGTTATCCTAAGCACAGGAGCTCCACATTCCCCCTCCTGCTCTGTATTTCCAGAGATGCTCAAGCCACTTTCACTTACTTTGTCACTCCTAAGGCAATTTCTCAGTGCTGCAATTCAATTTTCCTTGCCCAATGACAGCCGAGAGAGCACGCTAACCAGGTCATGCAACGAGACACGAGCCAACAGGCCAACACTAATGCACACCAAGGGTCACCAGCACAGTGCCTTCAACCCAGCCCACGCTCAGCAATGGGGATGTGAACAATACTTGCATGTCCTGTCTAGACGTGGATGACCTACATATCTTTGTGGCAGCAATGTGCAGCAGGAACATCTTCCTCTCTTGCCACGATTCCTTTGAATTTGTGAGGAAAAGGCCAGAGAGGACAGTCTTGGTTCCCATGGCAGGTCTCATGCCATTGCTGTCTTTTTAAAAATCCGATTTTGAACTCCATGTGGAAGGAACAGTGCAAATCCTAGAATCATAGAAAGTTTTGGGTTGGGAGGGGCCTTTCAAGGCCACCTAGTCTAGCCCCCCTTCAGGGATCAGGTTGCTTAGAGCCCCACTCAACCTCCCCTGGAATGGTTCCAGGGATGGGGCATCCATCAGCTCTCTGGGCAACCTGGGCCAGGGTCTCATCACCCTCAGTGTCAAACATTTCTTCCTTCTCTCTAGTCTAAACCTCCTTCTTTTAGTTAAACCATCCCCCCCTTGTCCTGTTGCAACAGGCTCTGCGCAAAAGTCTGTCCCCAGCTTTCTCAGAGTACTGGAAGGTTGCAGTAAGGTCTCCCCGGAGCCTTCTCTTCTCCAGTCTGAACAACCCCAACATCTACCTTTGTTAATCATCTTCTCCAGTTTTAATTAATACAACTGCTTTCCCTCTCTCCTACCAGATTACAGATCTGAGGCTTTTCCTTCTGCAACCTCACCTCATGAAGCATCAAGATAAGTCACAAATGAGTCAAAATAGCCTCGTTATGCAAAGATACAATCCATGGAGTTGTTCAGTAAGGTAAAGCAGGATGCTCCCACTGTGTACCAACAGGGCAGAGAGCCCTGCAGCTCCTGGTGAGGGATGCAGAGGAAGGTGTCACAGCTTGAAGTGTCTTGTGCACTGAATGGGCTGGGCAGAAGGTGGAATTGTGCCTCGTGGGCTTTAGCTGTGGGCTGTGGCTGGCAGCAATGGGACTGGTGAAGGCACTGCTGGTGAATTGTCCTGTAAGTTTGCTCCTCTCCTGGGAGCTCGGCACACAGTGAAGCAGCTTAAATCTGCCAGCAACACCCTAAGAAGGTGCTTGGGGCAATGGAAGAGGCTGGACTCAACAGCACCAGGGGTTTCAGTGTGAAGCGTGGGCTTTATGGACCTAGAAATCACAGCTGCAGAAAGTTCTCTGTCTTTTATTTAAGTCTTTCTGACCCAAACACAGAGAAGCATTTGCTTTCATTGACTCCTGCCGTGTTGCTCTCTGTGGCAGTGAATTGGAGAGAAAATATATTCCTTGTAAAAGACTACCTGCTCTTAGGGAGCTTTGCACACAACAACCTTTTTTTAGGTGCTGCAGGAGATGGGTGCTCAATCTTTTAAAACAAAGAGCCCAATAAACCACAAAACCACTTCACAAGCATAGAGCTGGCTTCAGTTTTAAAGGCAAGGGCTGTTTCACGCAGCCTTGTTTAACCAGCTCCTTGCTCAGTCTCCTTTGAAAGGCTTCACAGCAAACCTGTTGCCTGTGAGCTTTTCTCAGTGGGACAAGCTGACCCTACAGCAACACTGGTCCCAGCACCCTCAGCCCTGCTCCGTGCCAGGCCGACTCCATCTGAACTGCACTTCCATACTCCTGAATTGAGACTGGACTTCAAGAAGTGCGAAAAGCCCCCGTGAAATTCAGTGGTTGTTGTCAACGGGCACCCGAGGACCAGCACACCCCCCTTTGCCAGTGAGTTTTTGGGCACTCGAGATGAACAGGGCTCCTTCCCCTTCCTGGCTCCACGCCAGCAAGGAAAGCTCTACAAGCCTTTTCACCCTCACATCTGTAGAGCCCCCAAACCTTCAGCAGCTGGAAGCACCTCTGTAGGAAGTGGAGATGGAGGAGCAGCATCCAGCTCACTCTCTCAGCTGCCTCCTCTTTGTGTTTTCCGAGTGAGGAGCAATAAAAGCTGATTTACGTCATTAAAGGCAGCAGATGTGAGGGATGCAGGCAGAGGGGCCGGTCAGCTGACTGAAGGGATGCTGCTTTTCCTGCCGGGATTTTGGAGAGGAACCACAGTGAGCAGGGAGGAGACCCAAGGCTCAGGGGTTCAGCTGGGAGAGCTCTGGGTGCTGTTTTCCACCTGCCCTTCGTGCTGGGGGGTAGGATAGGGCAGACAAGAGCCAACACCATAATTTTTTTCCCCCCTTTTTGCATTGGTTGGTTATTTGGGTTAGGTGGGGTCGAATCCTTCCCCGGTTTACACCAAACGTGTCAATGAACAGCAGCTGCCTCTGCCCTCCTGTTGCTCAGCAGCCCCAGAAACCCTCTGTGAAAATGGATGGACACAGCAAGCAAATGTCAGCGCTGCGCCAGAGCTGCGCCAGCCTGCTCTTCTGGTGGGGAAAAAAAGGGAAAATTGGAGCTGCATAGATCCCAGTGCCTGCAGCGGGGTGCTTCGGGGTGGGGGGAGGCTGAGCTGGCACCCTGCTCGTCTCCAGGGTGGTGCTGGGTGACAGACAGCCGCTGGCAGAGCTCAGCATCCCCAGGAGAGGTGCTGTAAGCTCCGTCTGAGAGGAGCTGACATTTAAAACCCAGCACTGGCATTCAGGCCCTTCCAGCCCCTTGCTCCCTGCTCAGATCACAGCTTTGCAGCTTTGCTCCCTCCTCTGGGGTCTGCCCTCTCCCCGTGTGTTCTTCTCCATCTCCTGGACCTATGTCCCCTGCCCAGCTGCAGAGCTCGACGGCTGGGTTTTTCAAATCACATCAAAAGATGTGATTCCTTCCCAGCAAATCCTACAGGTCTGAGCATTCTTGAGCATTTCAGGGCCTGGGTCAGAGGGAGGTGACAACTGAGGTGACATTATATTGATTATAAGTAACTGGGCATGAGAGGGTGTAGGACATCTTGGTCAGTCTGGAGGGACTGGCATTGATACGACCCAAACAACCAGGTGACTCCATCAAACAGTTTGCTGGAGCTCATAAACCTGCCTCTGAGGCTAAAAAACACAGTCCCCTGCCTTTTTGGGTAGAGACAACTGATACCTGCCAGCAATCTTCCCCTCAGTTCCTGCCTCATCATCAGCTTTCTGCAAGCCTGACACCTTCACCAGCAGAAGAATAAAGAGCCTCGGAGAGACAATGCTGGCCGGAGTGAGGGAAATCATCACCAAGTCTGTGAATGGCCTCCTGCTCCTTCTCATTAGACATATGCAACTGTTTGCCTACCACTGTTGTCACTAGTCCCAAAAGCATGATTCCCATCACACTGAGTGAATGTCCAGAACGCAGCCATGAGTCTTCTTGTACCCTTTCTGTGTTTAATTCACCTGTATTAATGGCACTCTAATACCAGAGAGCACACAGGTCCTCGCTAGATTTCCAGATGGCATTTTGAGCCTCATGTCACCGTGGGAGGTCATAAAAGCTCTCCTAGAGCAAATTACCTGAGGAATCACACAGTTCCAGTCTCACAGGGGAAAATGAATTTCTGCAGCCTGAAGAAATGGGTTTATACTCGTGCCCAAGCCTGCCTCAGGCGCGTGTGGCCACCCTGCACCCTGGCACGACCACTTCCTTAACGTTTGCTTTGGAAGCCCACCTAGCTATAGCTCCTTTCTGCACATAGGGTCCCATTAGCACGTTCTGAAAACACAAAGATCGGCTAGAAGGAGAAATAAACTCCTGCGACTTTAACAGAGCAAGGAAGCGTTTACCTGGGCACGCAGGCTTGATTTTGATGAGCGTGGAGGAGGACAAATCCCCCCAGGATTTCAGTGCCAAGTGGGAGTGGCTGACAAAAGCACATTACTGCGGCACCCCAGCGAGCGTCCGGCGATCTCTGAGCAGCTGCTGGCTATGCAGTGTGCCATAAAGTAGTGTTGGGGCCTCCAAGACCCGGTTAGACTCACCGTGGTTTCGTCTTCATGGAGCACCTGGTCATAGCCACTCAGCGCGACGCAGAAGATGATGGCTGTGACATCCTCAAAGCAGTGAATCCACTTCTTGCGTTCTGACCGCTGGCCCCCGACATCGAACAGCCTACGGCACAGGAGAAGACCATCAGCACCAGCTTTTTCTTAGTTATGAGGAAACTTTATCAGTCTTGGCATTTTCTGGACCATGAGGTCCCTGGAAGGCTCCAAATACAAAGCAACAGGTCTTTAACTCTTGGCTTGGTCTTCTCCTCCAGAGCCTGGAGCTGAGAAGGACCAGGAGGACCAGTGAGAGCTGGAGAGCCTCCGCATTGTGCTGGGTCGCAAAGGGTCTGCAGAAGTGGAGACCATGCCCTCTTGAGTTTTATAGACCCTAAATACGGCATGTGCGACCCTCTGTCTTCATGTCCTCTTCTCTCCACTGGCTGGCATCATGAGGGTGAAAATACAGCATTAATCACATGCGATTGACCCACTGTAGAGAAAAAGTTTGGCCAAATATTTTTATCTTTATGAGCTTGATCAGACCCGGGGGCCAATCTCACATTCTACCTCCCAACAAAGCAGTGTCATTTGGGTTAGAAGAAGGTACCATGAGCTCCTGTCTTCAAGGCAGTGATTTTCAAGACAGGATCATCAAACATTGCATATTGTTGACCTCCCAACACACTGTGTCCTCTGCAGTGGCAACCATCCATGTCTTAACCAGCAATTTAACAGCTCCTCCTTTAGAAGCTATGTGGGAACTTGGTGACAAAGAGACGCCCTCCCCAAAAACTGACAGTTTGAGGCTAACCTGAAGTGGAGGTTTTTGAATGTGAAGTGAGTTTCTACGATGCCAGTTGTTTTGACCCTGGTTCGGAGGATATCCTGCTCCGTGGGCTGGTAGTCTGCAGCTCCAATTCGATCTAAGCTGTCTAGGTAGCTAAGAGAAGAAGGGAAAAAGAAAAAACAGGTAAGAATATGACACATTAATCTCTGTGAATCTCACATGAATCCTTCAGCTTCCTATTAGTCTTCTTTAATCTCATTTTTCATGGCTGAACGTATTGGAGTTAAAGAAAAAAAAATAAAATCCTGTCCTGGGGAAAAAGAAATGCTGCAAGCCCCAGTAAGCTAAGCATAAAATCTGATAGTGAGCTGAAAGCAGGAAATTAAGTGTGTGTGTGTGTTGGGAGCCCTGATGGCAATCTGTGAAAATACACAGTTTTAATATTACTCGCTATTTTTATCCCCTGAGGGACAAAGGTCCCACCTAGTCCATGGGGCTGGATTCTGTGCACGCAGACACATGCTTTTCTGCAGGAACATAGGAAATGCCTCCACAGGCTGAAATTTTGGGTGGGAAGTCCTATCTTCAAGTGTGAAATATTTTTGCAGAGGAACCCAAGAGCAGATATATGACCACTATCCATTTCTTTTCATCCACATCCAAGACCATTTTTCAAAACTACTCAACCCAACCAAATAAAATTTATGAAGAAAGGAGGAATTTGGATGACAGTTATAAACTCAGAGCTGCAACACCCAGTAAAGCCTTTCTCACCACCACTGAGCTGAACGGAGACACTCCAGTTCCTCCTAAAGGGGTTTTGAGGTGTGTTACTTGTCCACCTCCAGCCCCAGGAGCACCAATCTTGTGCATGTGAGATGTTCTCACTACACTGTGACTATAACAAAGCATGAGGAGTGGTCTTGTCCTTCCGTTGCTGTGCTTCTGGCAGCCTGGTTGTCACCCAGAGAGGCAATGGGCAGGAGGTGACATGCTGGGGGTACCCACTGGGGTGTTAGCCAGGGCATGGCAGCTTGCAAAGAATAAAGAGCAGTAAGAGGAGCTGTGCAGTCATGGGGAAGGAGAAGACCTTGTTGTCTCTGCTGAGTATGAGTTCCTCCGCTGGGGAGTGGAGGAAGGTATGAGCTGGAGCCACTCACATAGGACAGCCCTGGTGTCTAAGCTTGACTTTCTCTTAATTAAATGTTTCATTTCTTTCTCTTAGTTAAATGTGAAGTTTTTATAACATGGCTCTTGTCCTGATGAGTAACCCAGTCACACCAACTTGGCAATGAGCACACTCCCCTCGTGCTTCACCAAAGCACATCCCTCCTGGCCTGGACCCACCACCCTGTCCTGTCACTGGTGATGCTTGCCCTGCTGCATCAGAAGGCAGGAACAGGCTTTCCATGCATGTCAGAGAATCCTGGAGTGATTTGGGTGGAAGGGACCTTTCAGGGCCACCTAGTCCAGCCCCCCTGCAGGGAGCAGGGACATCTGCAGCTCGAGCAGGGTGATCAGAGCCCTGGCCAACCTCATCTGGAATGGTTCCAGGGATGGGGCAGTGACCACCTCTCTGGGCAACCTGGGCCAGGGGCTCACCACCCTCAGTGTCAAACATTTCTTCCTGCCCTCTAGTCTAAATCTCCCTCTTTTAGTTTCAAACCATCCCCCCTTGTTCTGTCCCAACAGGTCCTGCTCACACGTCTGTCCCCAACTTTCTGCATGGAACCTTCTTGGAAACAACTGATATCTTCTTAAGTCCTGCAAGGCCCCCAGAAGGTCTCCCCTGTTGGAGTCTTCTCCTCTGCAGCTGCCCAAGCCCAACTCTCTCCTGCTGGGCTCCCAGCAGAGGGGTTCCCCCCTCGGGTCATTGCTGGGGCTCCTCTGGCCCCGCTCCAGCAGGTCCCTGTCTCTGCTGTGCTGAGGGCTCCAGAGCTGCCCCAGCACTGCAGGGGGGTCTCCCCAGAGCGGGGCAGAAGGACAGAGTGTCCTGGGGGGAGTGGTCAGGGCAGGACACCTACTGCACTTTGCCACCCGAAACAACTCTCTGCCACCTGCTCACCCGCTCTCATGCCTACCCTGCCTGGAAAAAACACACAGGCAACCAAACTGCACTACGGAGAAAAAACAATCCTCGCCCTGCTCGCATCACCTATTATGGATGCCTATCATACTTATTAATTTTTGCTGAAGAGCTTCAAGAACCACATCACCCAGAGCAATGTATATAATCTAAACAGGCACATTTTTGTTGTGCCCTTTTCCAAGCCATTGTGGATTTGTGACAGATGCCCCCTTAATGGCATTATGATGGGCTGTGGATGGTGGAATCAGAGGTCTGGAGGAGTGAAATGCTGGGGTCTGAGCCCCGAATTAAGGTTGACATATGGGTGATTCCCACAGCCCTTCATAAAGAGGGGGTGAGTTTGCCTTATAGCTTCCCCCCAGGGTGTGGCCGGCCCTGCAGGGAGAGCCATAAGGGAAATGAGCCCCAGGGGTCCCGCAGTGAGTTGACAAAGGTCAGGTGTCTGCTTGGGGATAAAAGCTGGGACCACTGGCAGGGAGTCAGGAGTGTCTGTCTGTGGAGTGCACTCCACAGAGCTTCCTGGTTCAGGGCAGACCTCCTGACTCTCCATGGGGCTGGGCCCTGGTCTGTTTAGGCCTTTGCGAACGCGGGCCGATCGGCTGAGAGTCGCCATGTGGGCAACTTTTTCTTATATGTTTAACTTGCTGGTCTGGCTGTTTCCCATGCCAACTGTGGGCAACCTCGGTTCACTGTTTGTACCACCTCTTGTGGGCCGAGTTACGTCCTTTGTGGGATCGTTGGGGGTGGCGTCGATCATGTACCAGCTGATGGATCTGTTTGTACCCCCGGCGGTCATTCATGGAATGTCCTTCTTGTATACAATACAGTCTGTGTATTGGTTCATCTTCCTGCTGGCTGTATCATTTTTGTTGGGCCTGGTCATTGGCAGAACAGGGAGCTGAGGCAGCCTGCCATGCTCTTAAAGGGACAGGTTGATAGTAGTAGAGGGAGGAGAGCCAAGCAGGATCCATCCCAACCACCCTGACGTTCCTGACAGCATCCAGCTTCCAATCCCAGGTGTGCTATCTCCACAGGAGCTTCAACTGGGAGATCTCTAGCATCTGTCTGGGTGAGGGCACTGCTTCCCAGTGCTTAACTGGTGCTGGGACAGAGGAATGTTCAGTATCTCTGGTACTCCTTCTGTCCTGGCTTCAGGTGAGCTGAGCTCTGTGAGCCCAGAGCCTCAGGGTCACTAATGCACCCAGCCCAGCTGCTGGGCATCCCTGCCCTGACACCTACTTTGCCTTATTTATCATCTCCCTTCTTCACCTCTTTCGTCATCTCAGGTATTTTCCTTCATTCTCAGTGTGTTTCTCAATGACTTAAATTCTCCCAGTTGCCTGGGTTTGCTATTCCTCCATTCCTGTTAGTCTTGATGAGGGTCAGCCATCAATTTATATGCAGGTATAGAATATTTTCAGTGCTGGTTTTGAGGCTGCATTCCAAAGTTGTTCACTCCTCTTTTTCTCTTTTCCTCTTTTCCTCATTTTCCGGGAATTTCTCCCATCTCAGGCTGCAGCAGATATGTGGAGCTGGTTTTAGCTGCTGCGTGTTCTCTCTGGTTCCTGCTGGAGGGATCTCTGAGGCTTCACCAGAGCTCTGGTGCTCCCTGCCCATGCTGCTTGGGAGGACCTGCTGGTCTGCTGCATGGGAGCCTGAGCATGTGGAGGATGGGGAGCATTGGGGGTGTCACCTCTTGGGGAACAGGGGAACCCACGTGGGGACAAATTGCTAGACATGGCGCTGGATGGCAGCACTCCTGGTACGCACTTTGAACTGCAAATCTCCAGGCCAAACTGTTGCTGGAGATAATTAGTTGTCACAGCCAACAGGCTCGATGACACACAATCCCCTCAGAAGCTGGTATCTGTTTAACCAGCAGAAATAAAAGCACTTGGGAGGCTGTGGAGCAAGAGCTCAGCTTTCCCCCTTCCACGTCATCTTCATTGCATGGTGCTGGCATCTGAGCTCCTTCCACTTCCCAGCTCCAGGCTTTACACACTGGAGTGGAAGCGTATCTGAAATGACACATCAGCTCTTATTTCCACCCTGCCTTGCCCAGGGCTTGCAGGGGTTAAAAAGAGCTGAAGAAAGGTCAGAAGGTTTTTGAGTACATGAGTAACCCTTTAGCATTTATACTCCTGAGCTGAGCAGCTCCACTACTGCTCAGATCTTTTATCTTAAACACTTTGTTTGGAAGCAGATTGCAGGTTTCTGAGTCACTCGATTTATCATGCTTGGAGAGGTGAAGCCCCACTGCATTTTGCTGCCAAAAGCAAGGTGTGCAAGGACTGGCATCCCTAAATCCAGGGAGAGGAGCTGACCGAACCAAGGCTCCTGAAGGCCAAGGACTCCCTGATCCTGAATAGCCTCACACAACAATATTGAAAATCAGGGGTAAATAGAGTTTCCTGTGCCTTTATTTGCTGTTTCCAGCAGTGTGTGGTAGCAGTGCAGTTGATGCCAGAGATGCTGCCTGGAGAAAGGGACGTTGTCCCAGTTATCCCATGGGAAGAGGCCAGTGGCAGCAGCCTACGTGCAGCCCGTGGACGAGGACCCCTCCCCAGGCACTCTGCCACCACGGGACGTTCTCCCAGGACTGTACTGCCTAAGCCAAAGGCTCTGCTGGCTGCTTGCCTGCCTGAAGATGTGTAGCTGAGGTCACAGGCTGTGGCCAAAGCTGGATACCTGTGGCAGAGCTTCCACAGGCTCACGTCTGTTGAGATTAATGGCAATAAAATGCTTAAACATCTGTTGGGTCTTTCTCCCCTCAAAGGTGACATCGCTCGAGCTGCTCACACCTTGTGGATGCTGAGCTCACGTCCTCAGTGCTCAACAAAACATGGTGGAGCAGTGGCCACAGCCTGGGTCTCAGTCTGGAGCAGGTCTGCAGGCAGGGGAGTGGAAGCTTCAGGAGAGAAAGCATCGGCATCTCCCCACCTGCTCCTCCACCCTGCTGCTTCTGGCCTCCATCCACGTCTCCTCCATGAAGGAAAGGCTGTGTATGGGATATCCCAGCTTTGTTTTCTTGGCCTGTGTTGTATTTGGTTGAAAAAGCAGATCC